GGGGAGGGAGGGAAAGAGAGAGAGTAATGATTATTCTAATTATAGCCCCTCACTTTAGACTACACTCACTAACATTCAAGATGATGTTCTAGAGGCTCTTGGTAATAAGAATCCATCAGTAAAGTCTGAAGTTCTTTTGTTTCTCTCTCGCTGTTACTCTCAATGTGTTCCTGCAATGATACCTAAACCTTATCTCAAAGCAATGTGCCCTGTAGTAGTACAGGTAATGTACTAGCTGTTATACTATACATGTAGTTAATTATTTAGCTATTTATTTATTTAATAATTTATTTATTTACCTATTTTATTTGTGTAATCTTGTGGAGTCTAGACACAAACAATATTTTTGCATACATGTACATGTACATTATTGTAACTGCAAATATCATTAGCATATTCTCACATTCACACATTGAGCATATGTACATGTACATGTACTTCTGGATTTTAATTTTATTGTTATTGTAATTTTCACTATCTTTTCAAGTTTTAATTAATAGATGTACAATTGTACATGTATCAAAATAGTATACAAGCAATTATTGTGAACTTTACTTTGTAACCTATTTATTTACATGTACATGTATGTACATTTACTCTACATAATACTTCTGATTTTATATCTTTTCTTTAGCGTTTGGATGATACTACACCACAAGTCCGTGATTCTGCCTGTGAGGTATTGGGTACACTATTGAAGCTCCTGGGGGAGAGAGCCATGAACAACTACCTGGAGGGAGTCGACAAGACTAGAATGACTAAAGTATTTAACCACACCCACTTAACAACCACACCCACTTTGTTGTAGATTAACGAATGTATGGAGAAGGTTGAATTAAAGGCCCCTCCCCCTGGAATGGCTCCTCCTCCTCAAGCTGCCCCTGCCAAGCAACCAGCAAAAGAGGTTAAGAAAGAAGCTCCATCCACTGACGAGGCTGAACCTCCAAAGAAGAAACCAGCTCAAAAGAAAGTAATGAATAATAATTATTTGTATTTTATAATTTTTAATTTTTGTAATTTTTAATAGAAGAAAAAAGTCGAGGAAGAGCCTGAAAAGAAAGAAGCTCCACCCAAAAAGAAACCAGCAGCTGAGAAGAAGCCCCCTCCTTCATCAGGGGGTGGGGCTTCAGCAGGGGGCGGGGCTTCAAAGAGTAAGGGTAAAGGAGGAGGAGGAGCAGTCGGTAAATTTGATGAACCACCAGATGTATCAGAACCTAATATTGCCGTAAGTATGAGCACAAGTACATGTACATGTACATATATACATACATGTAGTACATGTACATGTACATGTGTACCAGTGTGTCTACTCTACGTAAAGTCTATAAGCAATACCTGAGGACTGAGATACATGTATCTGCTTGAGGTGAAGCTGAGGGCAGATATCAAGGGACTCAGGTATTACATAACTGATACTCACCTCCAGACACGCTGGACTGAATGTAAGAGTATATGTACATGTAATTATACATTGTAACATTTTAGCGGCACTGTTGCAGTAGCGATACATGTAGTATGTGGCACTGCATGTACATGGAAATTGACATATTTTATTATATTTTTTAGGACGAGGAGATAGAAGATAAAGCTAATGATGTCTTGCCTGATGGGTTGCTGGCCAGATTAGCTGAGACAGCATGGAAGGAAAGACTAGCTGGACATGAGAGCTTTAAAGAGTTTGTAGAAGGACAAGCACCTGAAGCTATGCAGTCAATACTGTTCATTAAAATATTAGCAAGGAAACCAGGATGGAAGGACAGCAACTTCCAAGTACAGTGCAATACATGTATATGTACAATATTCATTCTCTTTCCCTCCCTCCCTCCTCTCTCTCTCTGTCTCTCTCTCTTTATGTACATGTACATGTAGGTCATGAAAGCCAAGTTTCAGCTAATCACTGTCCTGGCAGAAAAAGCTAAAGTATTTGGAAAGAGGTCGACGAGTCTCGTGATACCTCCTCTTGTTGACAAGTTTTCGGACTTGAAGCTAAAAGGACAGTGTTCAGAGACTCTCCTCATGATAGCTGAGAGGATGACCCTGAACTACACCAGCCTCCAAGTGATGAAGGCTGCCTTTGAACACAAGAGCCCTAAAGTACAGTCAGAATCACTGGAGTGGCTCAGTCAAGGGCTAAAGGAATTCGGATTTTTGTAAGTACATGTACATGTATGTAGTCTAACACTGCTAGTACATGTGCATGTATTTGTAAATTCGTATTATAATGAGAATATTGATTAGTGGAAAGTCCTTAACATCAAATTTGCAATTACATGTACATGTACTTATCAGAATTGCCAATTTCCAAATTTAGTATTAGTATTACCTCTGCTATAATAATAATTATTGTTATTATTTATGATATTTTCAGGTTGAATGTAAAGCCTCATGTTGATTACATTAAGAAAGGACTGGCGGCGTCTAATCCAGCAGTGAGGACAGCTGCTATCAACCTCTTGGGTACAATGTGTATGTACATGGGAGCACAGCTGAGGATGTTCTTTGAAGGAGAGAAAGCAGCACTGCTGCAGCAGATTGACGCTGTTTTTGAAAAAGTAAGGAAAGAGGCAAAGGTCATTAATATTCACAATTTTTATTACATTTTCTGATACATATTGATGTCCTTATGCTGTGTAGAAAGTTTGAGCTGATTCTGACTTCAATTTTGCAAGTTATGGTCATTTTAAGAAAACACCAAAATTTTGAAAAGTACCCAAGGCTATAGCCCATGGTTTTTTCTGAAAAATGGCTCCGAAATCACCCTCAACTTTTATTACATTTTCTGATGCATATTGATGTTCTTATGCTGTGTAAAAAGTTTGAGGTGATTCCGACTTTAATTTTTTAAGTTACGGCCATTTTAAGAAAACGTCAAAATTTAGAAAAATACCTAAGGCTATAGTCCATGATTTTTTTTCCAAAAAATGGCTCCGAAATTGCCCTCAATTTTTATTGCATTTTCTGATACATATTGATGTCCTTATGCTGTGTAGAAAGTTTGAGCTGATTCTGACTTCAATTTTTCAAGTTACGGCCATTTTAAGAAAACATCAAAATTTAGAAAAATACCCAAGGCTATAGTCCATGGTTTTTTTCCAAAAAATGGATCCGAAATCACCCCAAGTTTTTATTACATTTTAAAATACATATTGATGTCCTTATGCTGTGTAGAAAGTTTGAGCTGATTCTGACTTTAATTTTTCAAGTTATGGCCATTTTAAGAAAACGTCAAAATTTAGAAAAATACCTAAGGCTATATATAGTCCATGGTTTTTTCCGGAAAATGGCTCCGAAATCACCCTCAATTTTTATTACATTTTCTGATGCATATTGATGTCCTTATGCTTTGTAGAAAGTTTGAGCTGATTCCAACTTTAGTTTTTAAAGTTACAGCCATTTTAAGAAAACGCCAAAATTTGGAAAAATACCTAAGGCTATAGTCCATGGTTTTTTTCCAAAAAATGGCTCTGAAATCACCCTCAATTTTTATTACATTTTCTGATACATATTGATGTTTTTATGCTGTGTAAAAAGTTTGAACTGATTCCAAGTAAAAATTTTCAAGTTATGGCCATTTTTACTACATTGTGTATGTAGAGAGTTTGAGCTACTTCTGACTTCAATTTTTTGAGTTACATGTATGAGCATTAATTTAAAAAATACATTCACATATAAATTTAAAAGAATTATACTTTTACATACATGTAAATCTACATGTAAATGTACATGTACATG